GTCCCTTCCAACCCAAACCATTCTATGATCAGCTGGTGTCTGAAATGTCACCTTTTCTTACAAAATGCCTTCTCAAGTACCGCTAAAGTATTTCTAATTCCTTTCTTTAATACTAAAAATGGAACAGAGGAGGTGGTCCTAGAAGGCTTAATCTGAAAACTGCAGGTAACACTTTGTACCCTTACCCTAACATTCCTTTTTGGAAGATCCTGACCAAATTTAAATCCTACTTTCAGCCCACAAAAGCTACAGAGGCATTGCTCAAATCTGTTGTCCAAACAGAGCTGTTCTCGTTATGGCAACTGTTCTCTAATATGGCAACTAATACTCTGGTGGGTAAGAGACATTGCCTTTGTCAGCTATTGAATATGATAACAGCAGACAGTCTTGTACCTTCTTGTAGTCGAAGGTAAGCAACTGTAAGCCTAGACACCTGAATGTAGGAACAAAGAAGTGGGAGATAGGCGTGATGGAAACTATTAAATCCAGCCTGACTGGTGTTCCACCTGGTGGCAGCATTCCTGTATAGTTGTCTCTGTGACTGCCTGACTTCAGAACCTGTGGAGCTTTGTTTAGAGCTGAGATAAGAGTTAGTCACTCTGACTGTCTCTGAGCGCTTCTGGTGGAGGTGTAGCTTGCAGTCCCAGATTCTTCCTAGGCATAGGTGGCACAATCGTCCCCCTCTGCTAGTGATGTGTTTGTGACTCTTGTATTGATCTCTGACAGCTTCCACTGCTAAGAATAAGTTGTGAAGAGGAATGGCAGTGTGTATAACTTCTAGGTTTCTGCTATACTAATGAATATTTTCCATCTTTCCCTGTAAATTCAGCGGGAGAGCCTACTGTGCAGAAGTCATATCTATGTGCAGATGTCATATATCCTCTTCCTGTATATTCTTAAATGCTAATCTTAAATGTATTCAGACTTTCATTAAAAAATGTTGAAGATGTTCCAAGTAGTCAGAGCTTAACTCTTTGCATCCCTGTTGACAGGGTGTCACAAGTGTATCTTGCTGTTGATGATCGCCTTGCTTCTCTGAAAACAGATACTTTCAGCAAAACGAGAGAAGAGAAGATGGAAGACCTCTTTGCCCAAAAGGAGGTAATGGGCTATTTCTGCATCGGCAGACCATGGGCTGCAAAGTGTGCGGAGAAGCCTCTCAGATCTAGCGTCATCTCTGGTCACAGAACACTGAGAGTTTTTCTTTTGGCAGATGGAAGAGGGGGAGTTTCGAAACTGGACTGAGAAAATCCAAGCAAGGCTGCTTTCCTCCTCATTAGACACGCCTCAACAGCTGCAATCTGTGTTTGAGTCTCTAATAGCTAAAAAGCAAGGACTTTGTGAGATGCTACAAGCTTGGAATAATAGGTAAGAGGACACGTGTTGGAATCATGAGCAACACTGATACTGTGTTGGTTATAGAAGGGAATAGGTTCTTCTGTACTTTCTCTCCTTGTAATGCAGTTGCTATATCTAGCGTGTTATGACAGCTTGTGCTAAACGTCCCCTACTGATTAAGACCGCAGAGCTGGTTGATTGGAACAGAAAATCATTTGAGGCTAGATAATAAAAATATTGTGTTGTAGAGCACAACTTGCATCTGAGAGGATAAATTGTCATTTGAATAAAGGTAGAAGAGAGGGGAAGAGGGGAGCATGGGAGACCAATTAATTAGGTTAAATTATCTCAGAGGTGAAGAAAATGTTCTGGCTTTGGCACATGTTCACAACCATCTGAGTTTCAGTAAAGACTTGTGAAGGCATGCTTGGCTGTATTCCAGTTTGGAGAAACTTCCTAACTTGTACCTTTCACAACTAATACCTGCAGCCTATCTGTTGATTAATTTTTCTTTGCGTTTTGTGAGCATTTTGTTTTGTTTTATAAGATTGCAGGATCTCTTCCAACAAGAGAAAGGGAGAAAACGTCCATCGGTACCACCCAGCCCCGGAAGACTGAGGCAAGGTGAAGAAAGCAAGGTATGAGTAGCAGGCTAGAAGCTACTTAAACTTTTTTTTTTTCTGGGGCAATACAGTAGTCTTAAGACTGGCTTCAGTTCACTTAGTAAAGTTGTTTTACTGCATTGTGGAGTTTTCCGCTGTAAAAACTTTGAATTGCTTGTTGGTATATGTATCTTTTCCTAAAGATCTTTCCTCCTAAGAGCCATATTACATAGAAGATTAACAAATATGAATAAGATTTAATTATTTTCTGTGGTGTTTGTGTATTGTTAATCTGAATACTGACAGCGGAGAACTGCACTCTTTGTCAGGCATGTGCCTAGATAGGAAGGAGGTGACCTTGTTAGACCCTAGGTTGTTGCCTGTCAGGTTTATCCCATGTGACAAAGCAAAAGCAAAAATTACCAGAAAAGGCAGAGCAAAGAACACAGGAAGGAATGGTAATGAATTTGCAGGTTCATCTCTGTTCTTTTGATGTGTCCTGTGGGAACTGGGTGAGGGAATGTATAAATGATTTTTGGACTGCTGCCTCAAGAGCTCTGTCTAAGGGTACAGCTGCCAGCATGCTGAACAACCACCCTTTGGGGAGCTGGTGCTCTGAGAAAATGTCCAGACTGCAAGGCAGTACAATATAAGCATCATACAGACAGGCTGAACTCCCAGTAGTTCTAACATTAGCAAGGTGCACTAAGAAACCCCATGAGACCCTGGATTTGCTCTGCTACATGCCTGCATGTTCTTTCCACTCAACACATATTTGTTAGAAGCTAAAACATACTTAACCTTGATCTAACAGCAGGTAGGTTTATATAGAGGAAGAATGTAGTCTTTAAAGCAGCATACAGAGATGGTAGCAGTCATAAGCATCTTGTGAAGCTGGGTTGCTGTTGCCTTGCCTTTTTTGTGTGGTGGCAGATACAGTGACAGTGCAGTGAGTGGGAGTGCTCTGTTGTGGTACATCTACTTTGCAAGTGTTCCACAGAGGAAGGAATACAGCTATAAAGAGCTTAGCATCAACTTTGGTATTTTTGTATTCTACCTAGATCAGTAGCATGGATGCTTCCCCACGCAATGCTTCTCCAGCACTGCAAAATGGAGAGAAAGGTTGGTTGGTTGGTTTGTTTGTTTTTCTTAAGGTACCAAAAGAAGCTTACTGTAACCCTTTCCCTGACATAACATGGGAGCCTTTGTCAAATTTGATAATTTAGAGAAAGTGTGAATCCCCATTGTGTCAGATGGGAATAAGTCAATTTCTAGCTTACTATTATAAAAAGCAAAATCTCCTTCTAATACGAAGCTGAACTGCTAACAGTACTAAAACAACCAGCAAGGCCAATTTGAACATGAGTTTAAAAACTTGCAGAGGCTTTCTAAATGACTGAGTAACTACATGGAATTTGGGAGATGCCTCTTACCTCTTCTCTGAAGTAGTTATGGGTGCTGAGACCTCTTACCTGTAAGGTATACTGAGAGTTTGTGGAAGCTGAAGGTAGTGGGTATAAGCGTATGCATCTTCTGCAGGTTATTTGCTACACTGATCAGTTTGCCCATTCTTTTGCTCTGGGTGGCCTTACCTGCTTTCTAAGTAAAAACTTCCTGAAAGTGGCCTCTGCTGATAGCTTGGCCTGGGAGCAAGCAATACCACTTTTGACAGCCATGTAAAATGCTTTCTTCTGTCCTTAACTGTCCTTGTACTCTCAGAGGATCGTTTCCTGACTACTTTATCAAGTCAGAGCTCCACAGGCTCCATCCATCTTCAGCTTCCCACCCCTTCAGAAGTTGTATCAGAACATATGACTGGTGCCAACACTCTGTCTGAACAGGATACAACAAGCAGCTCAGAAGGTATAGTTCTGTTGCGGTCTTGTATTTTTCCTTTGCTTCTCTGTGGCAAGTGTATGAGATCCATTTAGGAAATGGCAAATCTGGTAACTCTCTGGTCTGCAACCTTCCTTCTGAATTTACAGCTTCAAGTTTGATATTGTGATGCAGACTTAATTTATCTCTGTTCCAGATGTGTTCGACGGACACTCACTGGGATCTACAGACAGCCAAGTGAAGGAGAAGTCTACTATGAAAGCTATTTTGGCTAACTTTTTGCCTGGAAACAACTATAACCCCATTCCATTTCCCTTGTAAGCACTGCATAATATGTATGATGTACAAAATTAGCAGCCTGGTCAAATTGCAAACAGAGCCATACATGCTTCCTTCGCTGTGTGTTACTTAAGTCATCACTTGGGTTTGCCTCTGAATAAGCTATGGAACTTCTGTGTACCTTCTAGGTTACCTGCTTTTCTTATTAATGATCCACCCTTGTGCATATACATTATCAGTTTCTCCTCCTCCTAGCAGGCATGCCTCCTCAGAACTCTTGTGGGAGGGGAAGGTGTGGGGGAAGGGGGTAAAAGGGTACCTTCTAACATCATTGCTGCAGGGAGGGAACAGCAATGTCCTTCCTTAGCAAAGACTTACTAAAGCTAAATGCCTGCCTCTTGTTTTTGCTTCCAGACCTCTTCCAAGGGTTGGACTCAAATTGGCATTATCTGGGTGTAGGTCAGGTTCAATGGCTACTGCATGTGCCCTCAAGTCCCCCTCTCATGTGAAAATGGGCAGGCTGGAAAGTCTTTCAGCTACTTGGTCTGTGTGCTTTGTAGTGTTTCTCGTTTGACATGAGCCTAACGTTTGGCAGCCTGAGTTTAACTTCTGAATCCTACCCACAGGGTAGTAGTGGAGGCCATGGGGTAATGAGGTAGAAGTTAAATAACTGGACCCTGCAGATGAGTAGAAGAAAATCTTTACAGAAACCCAGGAGGCTTTTGGGAATTATCTGTGCTAAACTGCTTGTTCAGAAAAGAGTCCAGGTTTGTCCCCTAACTTCATTCTGCGGGCTATGCTGCAGGACGGCCAAAACAAACTCAGGCAGGTTTTGGTGCCATTAGAAACAGTGGCTGCTAAACAGAAATGGACTCTAACTTGGAGCTAGTCTTCTAATATAAGCAGCTTGCTTGATGTGCTGATTGCCCTAACACATTACCATTTAGATTTAACCACATAGCTATGAGCATGTCTATTGGGAGAAGCTGATCTGGGGAGCTTTGGTTCCATGCCAAGACTTGCAGCTTGTACGTGGGAGTGCAGTGATGAGATCTGGGTTTTGACCAAAACTTAACCTTTTCTTTCCACAAACTTTTACTATCTACTAACAGTCTCCCTATATCATTTTCATTTAGTGACCCAGACAAGCACTACCTAATGTATGAGCATGAACGTGTACCTATTGCAGTCTGTGAGAAAGAACCAAGCTCCATCATAGCTTTTGCTCTCAGGTACTGGTGTGATTTTGCTGTTCATCTGACACATGTTGTCCTTCTGCAGCTTTCTGTGCAAGGAATATTTAAATCTTGATGATAGGGAACAAGCATGGCAGAATTTCTTCACTCAGCTGTGTTGAGAGTTTCTGTCAGAGTTGAAGTTCTCTCCTTTTACTACTGAGACATGGAAAGTAGGTTTTCCAGCTCGCGACTGGATTTTTGGCTTTTCTTGCTGAACAAAAGTGAATTAGTTGTGTAGTGTTCCCTGGAATGTATTGTTAGAGAAAGAAGTGCAACTAAATTTTGCTCAGCTCTTCCAGCCTGGAGGAAGTGCAACTGAGCTAGGGAACAACAGTTAAGTATTTATACTGCAGTCTGTCCCTTGCCTGTCTTCAATTGTAGCAGCTCTTGCTATTACTCAGCTCTCCAAACCAGCTGCTTCAGTAAATCTTGGGGTTTGCGTGTCACAATGTAGTACATTTTTAAAGAATCACGTTCTTAAATTGTGGGAGAGGGAGAAATAAGGGCAACTTTTCCTGCAGTGTGATCTAGACCAGCTTCTGATCTAAGGGAACTAAGTTCTAATTGCCAGAAAAAAATGGAGAGGATTTTCTGCTGTGGGCTTTTGTTTCCTGTAGTTGTCTCTGAACTGAATATTTGAGTTGGTTCTCGCAGAGAACAGCTCTTTTCTTTTTTCTTTCTCTTTTTTTCATTTTCCTTTCCCCTTCAGTTGCAAGGAGTACAGAAATGCCCTGGATGAGTTGTCCAAAGCATCTCTGAAGAACAGTTCTGAAGAAGGACTACAGCCGAACAGGTCAAATGCAGGAACTACAGTACATAGAGCAAAGGCACAGTGATTGTAGTGAATAAGCCAAAACTAGGATGTGGAGGGACTGTCAAAATAGGCCTCTGTGGGATCTCTGTTTTCTGATGGAATCTGACACATTCCATGTAACCAACACATACTTACAGTATCTGAGTTTTCATTTCATGTCACCACCCCTCGAGGTGTTCAAAAAACACGTTGATGTAGTGCTTCTAGACATGGTTTAATGGGCATGGTGGTATTAGATGGTTGGACTTGATGATCTTAGAGGTCTCTTCCAACCTAATGATTCTATGATTTTATGTCAGGGACTGTGCTGGCTCAGTCACCTGATCCCTTGACTACATGCATGGTAGGGATTACTGGGCCTGCTTACCTTTCCTGTGGTGATGGATGGAACTGTTGCTACAGAGCCGTGAGAGGTTTTTCTCAGGGAGGTGGTGGAGAGTCCCACACCATTACAGCTTTAAACTGTATCCTCTTCCCTTAGCAGTAGTTAGTGTTAGGCATGGAGGAGAAATAAATGTACAGGCGTAAAGCAATAGTGTCTTGGGTGGCAGTATTTGTTGGGCTCATTACTTTTTTCTTTTTCTTTCTCCTTTCAGCATGGCAGACAGCAAACCAAAGAGCAGTAGCCCTGTCCGCCTGCCCGAGGCTAACATGGGTCCTTCAAATCGCAATGCAGAACCAGAACAGTGTAAGACCATTTTGCCAAAAATCGTACCCATGATGCTGATCTCAGCTCAGACTTGAGCCCGCTTAACCTGGGTTCTAGTTCTTGTGAAAGTTAAGTTAGAACAAAGAAAATGTATTCAGAGTGGAAATTGTGACTAGTCTTAGAGTTGACTTGATGTAGAACAGGGAGGGTGTGTATGTGTGTTAGTTTGGTTTTTGAAGTCTGTGCCAATGATTACTTTCTCTGACTCTCATGAGATCAGACTATCTTTCTCTGATTTAAGATGTTATGATGTAGTAGACCTTCGGTTGTTCTTGAGTCTAGCCTGTTTGGTGGAGTATGATACCCGTAATATGTTCTGACCTCTTTTGGCACTGCCTTCTCTGAAAAGGTGGCAGTTAAAATATTTTGAAATGAAGAAGCGAGGTTCTTAGTACGTTAAAGGCACTTATGCTAGATCTGTGTTTTCAAATGACTCAGCGTTCCAGAATGCTACTCAAAACACTAAGTCAGCTAACCTGATGGACCTTGGTTGCCTGAAGAATAGCAAATGAGTTACAGTTGAATGACATCATTCTTCCAGTTAGAACAATGAATGGTGAATGAATGTATGAGATATGCTTTTATTAAACTGCCTGTGGAAGTGCCGAGGCCAACTTCTTTATTCCTTTTCACTGTAGCAAAGAAACCATCTGGTGTTTTGTCTTTCTTCCGTGGCACGGGAGGGAAGAGCCCGGATCTGTCTTCCCAGAAGAAGGAGACCTTACGTGGTGCTGACAGTGCCTACTACCAGGTTGGACAGATGGGCAAAGAGGGAGCAGAAAACCAAGGTGCAGAGCCTCAAGGTACAAGACTGTTGAGTCCATCTTTGGGCTTGGACTGTTTCTTCTCCCAAACCTCATTCATACTTGTAAGGCCTGGACTGCACTCCTGCTCGTACTTTTTCAGCAGCCCAAGATTACTCAACATGCATTAAAAAATGAATGATTCAAGCATCAAAGACACTGATTTACTTTATGAGAAGGGAAAATAGGGTCTTTCAAACCCTGGTAACTATAGGGACATTGAGTAGTCTGGGCTTGAGTGCCTTTGGTTTGAGTTGACTCTAAGTAGTCCAGTCTCTCTTCCTTGCTTCCTGTTTAACTTTCATTGTTTCAGCTCATGGAAAATGAATGAAGAGAAGGAGAAAGCTTGTACTTGTGTCCCATGGACAGCAGTGCCCTTCTAGCATACATATTATATCATACAATTATAGCTGTATCTATTAATTCCCTGTGTATAGTTCCCTCTGTATTATTGAAATAAAAAGTATTTTTCTTGTAATGTGATTTTTACAAGTAATATCTTACGTGGCTTTCTCAGTAATAACATTGAACAAACCTGACTGAATGGTCCCTTTATGCCTTCAGATGACGTAGATGGAGGAGATGGACAGAAGAAACAGCTGGTGAATCCCCATGTGGAACTCCGTGAGTAGTTGTAAATAATAACTTGAAGTCTTAGCTGACAAACTCCTTTCTTCATGCAAGTGTAATGGAAATTTTGAAGTTAATAACTATTTTTTCTTTTATTGGGCAGAAAGGAAAAACAAATCAAGAACAGAGCCATGCAATTTTTACTTACTGTAATCAATCTCTCTATTGCAAAAATACCCCATAAAACTTTTTTTTAAGTTGATCTTTTGTCTGGACACTTTCTTATCGCTTATACTGTGAGCTAACCTAAAGGGGGTTGACTTTCCTGTAAGCTTTCCATTTAAATCCTGTTGGTTTAAACTTCCAAAGTACAATAGGTGTAAGAGAGGGATGTTTAGCGCAATAATGTTCTTCTAGACATCAGTAAAATCTGTAAGTGTCAGCTCAGGTAGTCAGTGAGTATTGCATACTGTTGTTGAGGAAGACCTTTTTTGCAGAGTTTTCAGATGCAAATGCCAAGTTCTACTGCCGGATTTATTATGCTGGAGAGTTTCACAAGATGCGGGAAGTGATACTGGGGAGCAGTGAAGAGGACTTCATCCGATCACTCTCTCACTCTATGCCCTGGCAGGCACGAGGTGGCAAATCTGGGGCTGCGTTCTATGTGACTGAGGGTAAACACAGCTTCTTCCCCCTTCATAATTAGAGGGCACTATTTGGGGATGGTGGCGGTAAGTGTAATCCCCAATTACCTCTAGCCAGAGGGTTGCTGACTGAAGTGGTCACTCAGAATGGAAAGTTAAGTGGATTGTTCTGGGGTCTTCAATATCAGATTATTTGTCTCTTTGTATGTGCAGGAGAACAGAATGTGGTTCTGGTTTTCATTAGTAGCAGCTAGGGAGGCCAGTTGAGCAGAAGGATTGTACTCTCTTAGGATTCAGAAAACAAAAATTGTAGTACAATTCAAGGAAAATTGGTTGTTAAAGACCAGTGTTTCTTATAATCCCACATGCTGTAGTTGATTTATAGGATTTTTTTTTTTAGCGGTGGCTGATTCTAGGCCCCGACTTAAAACAAGTCTTGAATGGAAGGGTCTGTAGGCTGTTTCTGTTGTCTGTATAAGAAGCCCATATAGCTGAGGTAAATTTAATGTGGGCAGTCTCTTCTCCCTGATTTGCTAGAAGGCTGAAATCCAGAAAGGCTGAAATTCAGAATATATGAAATAAAAAAGTTTCTAGGAATGAGCTTCTGTAGCTAAGGATTTAGAGAATTATAGTCCCTTAACTTTTCAGATCACTTCATCTGTGCGACAGTCCTAAAGAACTTGCAAAGAATACATCAGTTAGTGTGTGTAACCCTGTTGCCTCTGATGTTAAAACAGATGATAGATTCATTTTGAAGCAGATGCCTCGTCTGGAAGTCCAGTCGTTCCTTGACTTTGCTCCACACTACTTCACTTACATCATTAATGCAGTTCAGCAGAAGGTATGTAAAATAAAAAAGTGCCTTGTATTTAGGCAGTGTTCTATATCTTACAGACCAGTAACAGTTTCTATTAACCCCTTTCATTTAAGTAAAAGAAAACTTTGGAGGGTATGAGTTGTACTAATAATGTGTTTTCTAAGATGAAAAGCGGGAATTTTGCTAGAGCTTCTAAGCTGTAATACACAGTCAGACAGAACAGTGGCACCTCTAGCATTTGATTGCTGATTGCCTGTACACAGAGATCTTACCCCATGTCTTCTCTTCATCAGAAGCCCACAGCACTTGCCAAAATCCTTGGGGTATATAGAATTGGATATAAGAACTCTCAAAACAACACTGAAAAGAAGCTGGATCTGCTTGTCATGGAAAACCTTTTCTATGGCAGGAAAATGGCTCAGGTAAGAACCAAGCATTCTGTTCCCTTGCAGTGCAGTTCTGATCTGATTGGGAGTAAGAGAAGTGTTACCAGTAGCTGTCGAGGTAACTTTTAACTTTGCATGTGCAAAGCTCTTCTAGCACTGCTCAAAGATGACCGCTCGTGCCTTGTTTCCTTGTTACATGATCCTTGCTAACTTGATGCCTATATTGGCTAGTTCAAATAGCTGTAGTGCAGGCTTCAGTTTTTAGAACTCTTATTTGTCCCTGCATCTCCAGTGTCTGAGAGAAAGCATTGCCAACCTAACTAGGAAAATGTGAAACCTTTTTGCAAAGCTTTTAGAAGAACTAACTGGGTTTACAGACTAATTTGTTTAGAAGGAGAGCCTCACCGACAGAGATGGTGAGCTGCTGTGTAGTGTGTGGGGGAACAACTAATAATGTTTTGAACCTGCTGTTCTCTCTGTGAACTGCTTCATGTGTGGCACAAGATTTTGAGTTCAGTCTTGCTCTTAGTAAAGGAAAAACAACCTTTATGTGGCAATAGAATGAAGACCTTAAAATAACTGGGGGAAAATTCTCTTCAAATACAGAGTTGATGCTGAAAGGGTAGTTCAAACAAATGTCACTTCTAAAACTAGATAGTATCAATTCTTTCCACCTTCCCTCCCAGTGCCTAACCTCAAACAAGGGATGTTTGTGGGATGAAGTGAACTGAGGGAATTCTAGATAGATGTAAATGTTGTGAGTTTTCTTTTTGTTTGTGTTTTTTAAATAATGAGGGTGCTCAGGCACTAGAACAGAGACCCAAAAAGACTGTGAACAGTTACTCAAATCTTGACTGGACAGGGCTTGAGCAATCTTCTCCAACAGGACCTGCTTCAAGCAGGGCATTGGACTGGAGACCTCCAGAGATCCTTTACAACCTAATGATGGTCTGTCTTTTGCCTTGCGAACAGATGTTAAATGGTGCTTCATGCAAGACCAACCTCCCTCTTTAGTGGCTTTACTTTTGTCAGCAATTGAGTCTAGAAGCTGGCTGGAAAACTGAATGTACCCATACAATATAAAAATAGGAACACCCTTTTTCCCTTAAATTAGGCTAAATATTAGTGAAATAACTTGCCTAAAATTTGTGAATCGAGGTGGCAGAGCTTTCATGTAGGCTTACATGCTACTCTCCACTCAGGAGACTTTAATTTTTGTAGTATGGAAACGTTTTTTGTTAACTGTCTTCCTCCTGCGGAAAAGGAAAGAGTTGCCCTGCCATGCTGTCTTCTCAAACACTGCGGTTAGGTATGTTGAAGTCTTTAACGTTGCAGAACAATGGAACAAAGTAGTGCTGTTCTCCATTTGCAGGTTTTTGACCTGAAGGGCTCCCTCCGGAATAGAAATGTTAAAACAGACACAGGCAAGGAAAGCTGTGATGTGGTCCTGCTGGATGAGAACCTTCTGAAGATGGTCCGGGACAATCCTTTGTACATCCGTTCCCATTGCAAGGCTGTGCTGAGAGCTTCCATACACAGTGATTCCCAGTTCCTCTCCAGCCACCTCATCATTGACTACTCCCTGCTGGTGGGTCGTGATGATACCAACAATGAGCTGGTGGTTGGCATCATTGGTAGGTTGCCTTTTGGATTTTCTTGCTTTCAGCTGGTGAAACTGCTTTCTTCTGGTTTAGTTGTTTATAGTACTCTTAAAACTGTACCAGCACCAGAGAGATGTGTGTCAGGAAAGCTTGTCTTCTCCCTGGTGGAATACTACCCTCACCTCTGACAGGTATTCAAAGTGGAGGCAGGAAATCTTCTCTCCAGCTCTTGTATGGTCTTCTGTTAGCATTTGCTTTACTAAGAATATATGTAGGAGGCCTCACAGGCAGTGAAAAAGTAGTCAAGTTGCTGTTTAACCTACACTTTGACTCCAGTTGAAGTAGGGAAGGCTATTTGTATGCTTTTATGTGTTTAATCTTTAAAGTTAAACTCAGTAATGTTTACATAGCCATTCAAATCTTAATGTGTGTGAAGGGGATCTAAGGAGAAATGGTATTGATAGGGATGGAAGAGGGGAGTTAAATGTCACAGGATCACTTGTGATCGTGTAGTCTGACCTGGATAATATGGATGGCAACGCAGTATTTACCTTGCCACATCCTCTGACTTGTGACTAGAAAGCAGAGTCTCATCTTTAGACAGGCAAGCTTGTATTGTGCAAAAGACTTGGAGATGGAGCCATTTTGCAGGATGTGGAAGTGACTCTTGGAAATGAGATGCTCTTGAAACCTCATAATGAAAGCTCAGAAATGCTTCCAGGTGAGATCTCAATCCAGGAGGACTGGATTACTCTTTTTCTGATAAAGCTTAAAAGCCATTCCAAAACCACTTCTAGTTGAGAGTTGAAGTCCTAGCTAGAAAGAACTAGAAGTTGCTATTACTTTATAGTTTTGTAGACTCTTGAATATTTGGGTAAAAGGGATGAGACTCTGCTCCTTCTGTACATGTGGCTTTTTACTGTCCTATGGAAAGTCTTGATTAAAGAGTATATTTTACATGATGTTTGAAGCTAACAGTTCCTTCACTGTAGAGAGAACAGCTGTTCGTGATCTGAAGGAGCTTGTTTAACACAAGTATCTTCAAGAAGAGAGAAAATGCTTGCTATATCAGGCTATCAAAGTGTTCTCTAAATGATACCCTGAGAGTTTACAAGGTACTCAAGCTAAATTTGAGGTGGGGACAGAACTAAAAACCGTTAGCTTGGACTGAGTTTGAATCTGAGGTCAGAATCTCTACCTATTTTAGATCCTAGTGTGATACAGGAAACAAGTCAGGTTTGTGAGGAGCTGTGAAGACTTTTATTTTATTTGTAGGCCCTGTTGTGTGGGGCTCTGGGCCTTGGGGCATGAAGTGATAGTAGTTAGTGCACAAACTGATGATATCCATCCCAAAGCGTTCTAAAGGAGTATTTTCAAAGAGTATTCAGATAAATGGATAAGTCTTAAGATTGGTGGGCCTGGATGAGTTTTGTGTAAAGCACAGCTGAGGTGAAACATGATGGTGGCCTTTTGTGAATCTAGAAACAGTAAATTCAAAATTGTATGATTACGGTTGTAGTTAAATGTTAGGAGATAATGATATACAGTAATGAAAAACTTACTGCAGTTTGTTTTGCAGACCAAAATGTTCATGTGCTTGTAATGACTGAGCATGATTTCTCTGAAAGGGGCTTGGAAACAATTCTGAAGTAGTCTCCTTGCAGCCTCCTCTTCCAGTCAGAGTCACTGGTGGTGTTTCCAGTCTTCCATATCGTGAAGTGAAAAGTGTTTTGCTTTCTTTTATCAAACCTGTTAGGTGACTGCAATGATGAGCAATACTACTGGCTTAAATGGATAGGTGTCCAAGTCTTCATGCTGCTAGCTGTTGCAGTAAAGTAGTGGGAGCTGTTATGTCAAAGTGGAGTTTCTTTGGTATGTTTCTGGGATGAGGATCAGCGAAGTGACTCTTGTGAATGAGCCCTTGAAACTCTAACATGGATAAAGACAGATGTGCCTGGGCAGTCTCTTTTGGTAGAAGCTGGAAGAGCTGATTTTGATCTTACTGGGCTTTTGAGATATAGTATTCACCCTTCCAAAACAAAATCAATGCTCCAGAAAGCAAGGCGACTGGTAGGGGGAATACTGCAGTTCTTCTGACTTTGGAAGTCTACTGCTTTCCTGCCCTTTTTGAGGGGAAATAGATATGGTTTTAGAACAACGTTACTTGGGTTATAGCAGATATGACATGTTTGTGTGTGGATTTTTTTTTTTTTTTTTGTCATTGCAACAGACTATATTCGCACTTTTACCTGGGACAAAAAGCTTGAAATGGTGGTAAAGTCAACTGGCATCTTGGGAGGACAAGGTGAGTCAGAATGAAAGCAAAATTTGATCATATTTCCTTGTTGCCTGGAAGCTTCCAATAACTGTGCTAATAAAGCCACAACTTCCCCATCATGCATATTTGCAACACTAGATTAAGTTGTCCAGAACAGGGAAAGCAGTAACAAGTTTCAGAAAAGTTAATACGTTCATCTGCCTCCATGAGTGACCCCTTAAGTACTATAATTCCTGGGAATGGGGTAAAGCTCACCTACTTACCAGACTGTTCTTTTCTGTTTCTTAGTTACCAACTACTCACATACAAACTTAGTCATTCACACAGAGGTACTAGCAAAAACTTGCTGCCTGATTTCAGAAGCTGTTTTCTGAGTCGAGAAAATCAGATATACTCTGAGCTGTTTGTGTGGAGGAATCCTTATCAAATGATTGACTATTGCCCATATTTTGAGGAGCTGAGGAGTTCACTTTGTGGAAGTGAGCAGAGTACCTTTGGTGCAGCATTGCCTAGTGTTGGCCACGTGATAGTAGGAAGGCTGGAAAGAGATGAGAAGGGGAACACTTGATATACCATTGCTTGGGTGTGTGGAGAAGATAAGAGCATGTCCATAGAGTGAAATTCTTCGTGGGAGAAATTTGCATCTCTGCTGGAAAATGTCAGACCTGTAAATAGGAGAAGAGAAAAAGAAACTGAGAGCTGATATAGAAAGCCTACATGGTTCTTCCAACTTCCAGTATCTCCATTCAGTGTTAGGGGTCCAGACCTTGATCTGTCTTCTCTCCTAAATGTTTAAAATAAAAATTAAAAAAAAAACCCAAACAAACAAAAGCAAACAAACAAAAAAAGGCAGCTGATAATGCTTGTTGATTCCAAGACCCTTCCATGTACAGAATGCCTTCATGATTATGCTGTCTTGTGTTGTAATCTCTTGTGACATCTGTCTGTACTGCAGTATACTCTTTAGGCCTTTTCTAACTGCTCTTAACTCTTATGCGTTAGGTAAGATGCCAACTGTGGTCTCTCCAGAACTGTACCGGACCAGGTTTTGTGAAGCTATGGACAAGTATTTCCTGATGGTACCAGACCATTGGACAGGACTGGGCCTGAACTGCTGAAGCTAAAGCCCATATTGGGAAAGCACAAGAGGACAGTGACATTATATGCCACTATTCCTGCGGTCTGTCCACCAGTAAGCAAGAGGATTGCAGTTCCATGTCTATGCTGACCATGTGCGTCATGTTGTGAAGTGTGAAATCTGTGTGTTGCACTTTAATCCTCTCTTGGAGGCTGATAAGTGACCTGGCCTCACTAAGGATCTGAGCTGTAAGGTGCCACTGAACAGCATTGATGAGACATTCTCTCTGTCAGTGGGGGAGGTGATGCTGTCTCCATGTAAGAGCACTGAAACAGGTACTATCTAGTTCATGATGGTGTAGAAGTACATGATCTCTGTAAGTCTTGCACTGCCTAAGTGGTGTTGAATATGAGCAGCTTGTGTTTCTGTAGTGGATGCGTGGTAGTGCAAATGTGAAATAAACCACCCTCTGTGGGTGGGTGGGTGAGAGAAGAATGAAGTTAATTCCTGAGTTCTGCTATTGTTGCGGTTGTCTGTAGTTGACCTGTTTAGGATCCATGAATAACTTGTCCTGCTTATGCTCTGTAGCTTCATTTTTTCCTGGGTTCTGTAAACAGTGTTGTTCTTTTTTTTAAGACAGCTCCATAGCTATAATGCCATATCACTACATCTTTTAAGTTATATTACTGCAGTACAACTCTTGTCTTTATCTGTTATAATTTCATTTTAGCTGAATCCCATAAAAATGGGTTGTCAGTCATCAGCATACTGCAAAACCGAAAAGATATCCCTTCAATCCTAAACAGTACTTTGATCTGAATGTTACCCAAATCCCTGGAAACGGGTGAATAAAAAATACACCCTTTAATTTAACAAGACTTGATTAATTCTAGTTATGGAGCTGATCAACCTTTTCCTTAGCAGAAGGCACTAAGTTGCTAGACAAAATGAAGCATAGTGCCTTAGAGTGACAACATTCTCCTTAATGAAACCATCATTCCTGGCAAATCACTTCAAATCCATTTCAGTTCCCTGGGACTTTCAAACAGTGCGTTTACCTCATGGTGAAACTTTGCCAGGAGAATGTTTTTCTTGCATTCATGACAGGCTGATGAGAGTGAGCATCCAGATCTCATCACACTATGCAGTTGCAATGAAAAAAATGTCTCTTCAGCAGTATTAGATTTGTTGGGTTTTTTTGCACCACTGAGATGAATGTAGTTGTCTTTTTCTGTAAAAAGAAAAACCTGAACTAACAGGTATCTTGTATGATGGATAAGATGTGCAGAGATCTGTGAATCTCTGTTATGTCAATAAGCACTTATTTCCATTTTTATTAATTTTTACCTGTTTCTCTAGGTGATGAGTTTACTTTTTAGCTTCATTATAATATAGGCCAGTAAATAAGAGGGGGTTTTATGAGTTTGAGAGGCAAGAATATTGTCCTTTGACTTCCAGTCTCTGATGGAGGGACTTCAAATGAACAGGGAGTCTGGGACAGTATGGCTCTTTATGACCACTTGCTCATTCTGACCATTTGCCTAGTAATGCCATCTTCACTGTAACTATGGATTGAAGTGTGCATTTTGTTCACTCCTCCTGTGTTCAGTATTTTCTTCTGTAGCAGGTGGTTGTGGCTCTGTTGAGGAGTGACAGCTGGGCAGCATTGAGAAAGGAAAATGCTAGCAGTGAGAACTGAACTGTTGGCTCAAAAATCAACCAGTGCAGCTCAGGTCTGAGCTGCCAGGAGGCAACAGTCATTTCTGTTGGAAGAAGTCTTCTCCACCCCATTGCAAAGCCCTCCTGGACGATAAGCAAAGGTGCTGACCTTGAAGCAGTGGAAATGAAAGTATTCTCAATTCTGCTGTACAGTGTAATCATCGTTTCTGAGGGTGCAGTGTTGAAGGTGCAGTGATGTGTGCTGTGGAAATATGACAGTACTTCTTGCTTCCTCTGGGCCAGAATCCCTTTGGTCCAACACAGTGCATCAGGTACAGCTGGCCACCTCTGGGACACATCTTGCCTTCTTGTTGAAATGTACTCCCAGGATGGCTAGCTGTGTGATGGGCCTTGTGTAATAAGACCAACCAGTTCATCAGCTTGATGCTACTCTCACTTCTGTAGCTTCTGCTTACTGTCTTGGTCCATTGATATGAAAGAGCATGCCATGCAGCCTGAATCTGTTCCAGTCTCAGTTAAAGTTTACATGTGTTCCTCCTCCTTCCCCTCCTAAAGTTTACAGGAAAAAAACTTGACTTGCCTGACTAGCTAACATGACCCAAGAGCAGCGTATTATGTTATCTTCCACCTTCAGTATGTGAATTGGTTGATGGAGCATGAATATGGGCTGTGTCATGGCATCTGCACTAGGCTAATATAGAGCTGTGATTTGCTAGCCCTGTCCTGTCACCAGTAACCCTTACTCCAGTGATGTGTGGCTTACACTGCTTACCTTCCAGAGTCCCAAGCATCTGGCTTTAAAGCAACATGATCGTCTGTCTGTAGCTAATGTTCCCCCATACATGATGGCATGAGGCCCTCAGCACTGTAGAAGTGAGAGAAACTTCCACTGGCTAGCTGTTCTGCAGCCTGTGAATGCAGAGCCGAGATGTGTGAATTGTGACCACCTTGGGCTGAAGTTATAGCAGTTGGAGAGATTTGCAGGAGCGGTCTTGAGCTGACACCAGCAGCTAACTTTGGGTCAGGATGTGGCTGATAGACTAGTCCTGACCAGACTGGAGTAAATAGCAAACTACTAGTCATGGGTAACACAGTAGCTGCAGTATCAACTGGAATTGGGACATCTTTGGGTGCCGTGTGACATAAAGCTGTAAGCATTTCTAGTTCAAATCCCAGCAGCTGAACAGATCTCAAACATTCCCTTTTCAGAATTAGAATTGTCCTGATATTTCATTTGCTACAAAGCTGACTTTCTCAAAAGACGGCAGTACTTCATGTAGAAGAGATCATTGAGAGAGCTCCTTGTGGGGCTGTGTTAGGTCTGTGTCCCTGCAGCATGCCTAAGGATGACCTAGGGGAACAGCCTAGGTGTTACATGAGCCCTTTAATTAGAATTTTTTTCATTTCTTTATAACACAGGTTTAGCATATATGTGTGTAAGCAAATCCCAGTTGCAAACATGAAGACTGCATTTCTTCAGAGCTGCACTGGCTTTTTCTTCTGTTTTGATCTGAGGCCTTTTGACAACTGTCTAAATCTTATCCCAGTTAGAAATGATGACTTGCTTTGAGTCATTGTGTAGACAGCAGAATGTGTTGTAGTGGCCCAGCGATGCATGCTGTCCCCAAAAGCACATGAGGGACTCTTGCTGGATAAGTAGCTCTGCTGGGTTCAGGGGAGTTACCTGTGGAGTGGACTCTCTGTGAGAATGACCAAAACCAAATGAATTGCTCACTAGCAGGTGGCCAGACTAATCATTATTCAAAGCACTTAATGTACCATAATGTATGTATTTCTAATCTACCTTGGTTCAGCTGTATTTTATAAAATTGATGTACTAAACTGTTTGAGAATAACTGCCTTGACTACTTGGAGAATCAAAATGTAATGTATATAGATACAAATAAAGTGACAAAAATATACTTGAGCCTGACCCATGTGGTGGAGCAGTTACGTCTCATAGTATCTCATTTTCTTGATCAGAAGCTAAGCCCTCTGCTTGCTCTGCAGCAACTGCTCTGTTGGAGGTTGCCAGCTTTGCGTGCAGTGTAAGCATGCCTGTTGTGTCTCTGTACCTTGCAGCTCATCTCTTCTAATGGAGAGGGATCTCTGGGCAGCTCTCCAGGTCAGTGGCAGCCAAATGTGCAAATAACCTTTCTTGCACTTCTCCCCGCTTCTCCCCCCTTCTCCTCAGCTGCTTTTTAACACACAGTGCTGTGTGAGACAGGGAGCCAGTTTTGTGCGGCAGATGGTGGTGTTGCCGTGGCTGAGTTCTTACAACAGGTAGAACACATTCCTCAGGAAAAATTTCAAGATATTTCCATAGTCTTCTTCTAAGTGGACTAGATAAAGAAAAAGTCCAAGGAGGTCTGAAAATTAATGGCGTATCTTGATTGCTTCATACTACCCTGGTATATAGTAACCTCCTCTCTTAAAGCTAAAAATGATGTGTGGTTAGTTCTGGGAAGGGTACTCGTTGGTTCCTAGAATATAAAACGCAAAATCTAAAAGTTAAGGATTTTACCTGTATTATGTGCCCTCACCACTTTTGACAGGTGAATGAGTTCTTTGACCTGGTGCAGTATGAAGCTGCATCAGAACCTGTCCCATCATGGGGTGTGAGCAAGGCAAAAGGTGGGATACTCAATTCAAGGGCAATGCTGCCTTTATGCTGGTGTAGGGTTGAGTAGCAGGACTTGAGGGGCTTCTGGCACAAAGTTGAGAAGCACAAATGCAGGGTTATCAGAACAGCATTCCTCTAATACAAGTGGGACTGCCAATGCCTAGTAAAAGACAAGTTTGTGCTCTAAGCAAAACTTCTTTTGGTCAGTGCTGAAGTTAACAGTATTTGAAAATGAAACAGTATTTGCATGGTTTTTCCATTGATGTAACTGATGGTGTGAGATTTTGATCAACTTCATCACTACCATGTTGATTAACACAATACTACTATTTTAAAAACAAAAACAGGAAGTTGGGATTTGCCATCTCAGTCTGCGCTGCAATGTCTCGATGTAATTCCTATGGTGTCCTAATGTGAAGATACACAAACAACAAAGAGTACTTCAGTTTTAGTGTGGAGGTTTTAAGTCAGTGCAGATACAGAGTAAATTTGCACAATAATTGGGAAAATCCAGGCCATCCCTGTTTTCTCCCTGTTTTCAGGACACAGAGCTGGAAACCTGTCACACCGGAGATTCAAGACCTAGCTGTCCTAGACCCTGACGCTAACCTGGTATTACCGCTAAAGTAATAACGAAACAGGAATCTAGGGTCTCCAAGCTCCTGCTGTGGAGCCTTGGTTTGTTGTCAGATCTCTGTAAGGAACAAAAAGAATTAAAAAAAGAAAACTAACAAACAACAAAAACCCAACACTTCATTTTTTTTGTGAGAGGAGATTTGTCTGTATTTCTAAATGTGTGCCTGAGGCCTGATTCTCAAAAGATGAAGTATGACAGAAATAGGTAAGAAGAGGGGGTTGAGGGCTTGTTTGGTAATGCAGCAGAGTCTGACTGAGCCCCCACGTGTGTATTGTGTTACAATGCCTTATTCTCCAACCCTGTCACGGAGGCACATGTACAACAGACAGAGCAGCTACTCAAAATGGGGATTTATTCCAACCAAAGTTAGATAACACTCCGAACCCACCAAAGTAAGGTTTGGATGTCAGTTGGGAATATACCACTACACAGCTGACTTAAGAATTCCTAAGGTTTTTTTTTTTAAACAAGCCTCTTAGAAAAATGATCCAAAATGTGCATACGCTAAATAGGGGAAAAATATTTTTTATGGGTACCCCAGACTAGAATCACTGACCCAGAAGGGGCAAGGGTCACTCAAGGATCTATCTAGCAGTGTTCACCCACCAAAGGTGAGGGGGGTGAGGGCTCTCAACCCCAGG